GGTTCTTGGCCAGTGCGCATGCAGTGCGACCATGTGGCCCCACGTCCCTCTGTCCTGTATGTCTGTTAACATCACAGTGATATAGTCAGTGCTAGAGCTAGTGTACAGGCTACTTGATCAATGCCAGTTAAGGTGTTGTTTATCCCCCTCTCTCTTTAAAATGACTTGATTAGTTGCTTTCGATCGCTCCCGCCCAGTGGAGTCGGTCCTTGAGCGCTGTCCTCAGAGAAAGAGGGATGAAGAAAACAAAGAGGCGGTGACATACACAACAAGCTGTACAGCGCTCCAGGGACACGCAATGACATACTTCAACATGCAAGCACGCCCATCCTGGACTCGACGGTGAAGCGCTGAGCTGCACACACAGACCATGAGTTTAAATCGGTCGCCCACCATCATTGGTCCTCCTTCCATCTCCCGCCCCACCCCCTCGTCCCCCTGTCCAGCCAATCGCCGGCCACAATCCCACCGGTCGCCATGGCGTTTGCCTCCATGTGTGCGAGGGGCGGCGGGGGGCTCACGGCCAGGGCCACACTATATCAGAGATTACTATTCATTCATAATCTGCAAGGGTTACGCTGCTGTAAATTGTGTGTATTTTTGTGCATGTTTTTTTTTTTTTTTTTTTTTTAAATCACACATACTGTCTTGACTACTTTTGAATTTTACATGAGCGCATGCACTCAGTTCCTCGTGAACTGTGACTAAACATGCATGAGTTTTTTTTGTCTGAGTGCATAGATGCCCGGTGGGACAAGGAGCTCCCTTGGGAATCCTGCTCTATAAATAGCTCCCTCTGTGTGATCCGTGATCTTAGCCTGATCACGGAGGGGGGGGGGCACAGAGTCAGACATAGATGGGCACAGAGAGTGACGGATGAACAGTTCAGGGGACGGAGAAGAGGAGGCACAGGCTGACATTTCACCAGCTGTGTTTTTTGGGGCCGTTTATCTTTTTTGTGGTGAGTTCAGCCAGATTTCACATCACCGTGCCTGCAGCGGGGAAACCTCACAACTCCGTGGGATTTCACAAAGTAAACACAATTTCCCGTCTGTAAATCAACAGCGTTTATCTCACTTCCGCCCCTCATCTTTAATGGTCCCTCATAGCTTCTACGGTCCTTTTGCTGCTGCACATTTAGAGCCTATAATGCATACTCTTAAAAATCCACTTGTCTGAGAAAAATATGATTCCTATTTACTGACATTTTAAGTTTTCATGTGAAGATGTTTACCTCTACACATATTGTATTGATTTACTTAAATGTCAGCCTGTGTGCTCGCTTCTTCTCCTCCTCCCGTTGGCTCAGCACCATTACCTCATGCCACAATCACAGAGTGCCGTCCGTGTAAGCCGGGCTAATTACTTCACAGGTGCCCGCGTCCTGCTGGGTGCCGTGTGTCACCCTGTTTGTCTGCCGCTGCTCACGGAGCTCCGCTTATTGTAAACATTGCCTCCTTGAGGACTGGTATTCGGCGAGCTGCTGTGGTTTCTGTCGCACCGCGAGATCGCTGTGATCCCGGGGAGCCACGTCAGCTGTCAGTGACACAGGCGTGTTTCCTAATGTGCTATCAAACTGCCTTTAAATTACCAGAGGCTGAATTGTGTAACATATCTGTCCACTGGAAAATACAGTTAAGTTTAAAAAAACCGATACTTCAGATCACAGCAGCAGGTTTACATGAATGTTGAAGAATCGTATACACTCCGCATCTCGTAGCATGCACCAGTTTTGCGGTCTGAACCAACTCTACAAGCCTTTGAGCCAATGGTTTCCCAGTTTTGTCCCATAATGTCAGATAGAAGTAACCAGAAAAAGATGAAACTATAGAAGTAAAAACATTCACTCCGGCCATTGAAATTACTGAGAATAGAACACAAGTGATTCCACCACCTCTCTCTCCCGCTCCATCTCTGTCCCTCTGTGGCCCTCAGCACTTGATCACTGGTCTGTATGTGACCAGCCGTGTTAGCAGAATACAAAAAAACATGTGTACGCCAGAACTGCTTGCATCTAGGTGGGTGTAGTGGAGCAGCTTAGGTTGTTTATTCAAATCAGGTGACACCGTTTTGGTAACCTTTTTTGACACGAGCGCTCAGTGCACCTCCTATCACAGACGGTGCTCAGTTTTCCCTCCGACCTGCTTGTCTCATGAATCATGATCCCACACATCACCCTCTTTGTAAGTGTTTGATATCTTTTTATTAGCTAGTCCATCATAGATTACTTCATGTGCATTTGCCATCCATTTTCCCCCAAAAAGAACCGCTTGGATTCTGTTGTCACGTGTGAAGGCGTAGAAACAGAAAGTGCGCATTTTGTATGTTGCAGTTTTAGGCCACAGGCATTCACAAACAGCATTTTGTGAAAGCCTGTGGCCTGCTTACAGAGGAAGGCGCCTGGGGGAACCTGCACACAAATGGCGCGGGGGTCAAGAGCGAGTGTGCCAGGCGAAGTCCCGGGGCCGCCCGGAGCAGATCTGTCAGTCCGACGCCGCCCCCCGGCTTAAGTCCGCATGGGAAAATGTACAGTAGAAAAGGCGTTAATTGAGGCAATGCTCCATGCATGTGTGATGCTGGAATAGCTGGTGCCGGGGTTGCCTCTGAATGGGCCCAAATAATGCAGAGTGGCACCCCATTTAAAGTGCACTGACCCAACACAGGGTGTTGTTTGTTTGGCCTGGATGCTTACCGCTTATTAAATGTGTGGCCAAACAGCTGACAGGCGTGTACATGTATGCGTGGACGGAGAATGGGAGAGGTGGTGGGGCTGAGCGATCACCGTGGTCCGAGGTGGGGAGAGGCTTTTGTTGGGACAACACGGATGATTGGAACAGACCGCTCTGTGAAACAGAGGCATCTTCTAATGAGCCGCTCTTTCTATACGCTTGTTTATGTTTACGAGTGTTTGCAGGTCAGTCCAGGGGTCATTTTAACACAGACATGTACACACAGATTCCTCATCAGTACATGCCTGATATTTACCCTTGATTATTATTTTTTTTAAAGAAATGGATAAAACTGCATAAAAAATGTTGATAAAAGGAGCGTTAATGAACATCATGAACAGTGTATGGTCAGATTATCAACACATGAGCTGCATTCTTGTGGACTCTTCAAATCAAACCTCATTCTCTCATCTTTTTTTAAATGAAGAGTCCAAACAAAAAGTAGTTCCTTCTAATGTCCAGCCTTCAAACAAGTCCTCACAAGTATAGCGACACAATTACACACACACATGCACAAGTGTAGCACCAGCATGTCTGGCCCGGGCCACACCCTTCCCTCTCTCCCCCGCTGTCCCGTTGGGCGGTGTTGAATTTCCTCCCGCACGCAAAAAACCTGCCCGGTACCAAAGATGTCATTGGCTATCTCAGCAAGTAACTGCCACTCCATTGCCACCTCATTGGTCACTGGGGATGCCAGGGGCATCCGTGATAGGCCGCTTTTTTTTGGGGGGGGGGGGGGTATTGATGACTGGCAGAGGGCTCGGCGTGGTGCAAGATGGTTCTCCATGCGGAGCGGACATCGACCCGAGAAGACAGAACAATGCACAGGAGGTTTTGATCTTCAGCTCAGATATCAAGCACAAATTGAATTTTACCACATTTATAAATTAAATATAACAACTAAAAGAGCTCTGGTTTACCATACTTTTTTAGCTGGTTTATCTTTCTGAAGCAGACACATAGAAAACCTCATTTCTAATTGCGAGGCCAGTTTTAGACAGAAAATCTTCCAGTTACATATTCCACATAGGAAAAGATTTAGTTTGCATTTTTCTTGTTTCCCTGATGTCATGTTGTCGGGTTTACTACTGTTTGTGTGTAAGCTGCTGTGTTGTTGTTATTGTTTGGATAAATAATCTGACTGCGCGAATGCTCTCGTTATCGCATGTCAACCACGTCGATGCAAAATCCCCGCATTTTGCTTTTCCCGCGCTCGCTCCCGGTATCCATGTTTGAAAAGCAGAAATCATATTACAGATGGAATGTAACAGAAGGGCTGCGACACAAACAGTTTATATTTCTGTATCAGGCAGGTGTTGTGCAGGAGGGCTTTCAGTGATATTTTACATTTGTCGGGCTCGTACCTGTGACCTTTTTGTTTTTTTTGTTTGTGCAGTGTCTATACCGACTGTGACAAATACAGAGCGTTGTCTGTATCCGCTCACACATCGCTGTCTCTGTAGAAGATGCACAAACGTGCAGCACACTGTCAGCAGTGCACTTACAGTAAGCAAAATGTAGCGTCACCGCTTACACCGTGTACACACACACGCACACACATACACACGGTAAGTCTGCATGCGTGTCAGCAAATCCCTGCGGCAAAACTCATGTTGCAGGGGGATTGTTTTTGCTCTCTGCTGCCATGTTTCATCATTCGACCTGCACGTGTGCTACTTTGTCATCTGTGTACAGTGAAAGTGTGTGTGTGTGTGGTGTGTCAGGAGTATTTGATGGAGGCTTCCTATACACTTTGCTCCCACCACAGCTCAGGCTGTCACTGTGGTTTGAATCACAGACGCAGTTTGTGTGTGTTCTTTTTTTTTTTTTTCTCCGTGTTTTGCTAATGCTCTTACCCAATGTGTACAAGTCAACTTAAGTCCCCAGTTTGCCAACAACGAATACGAAGTGTAATTCCGAGTGCAACAGTCAAGGCTGCGGTGCCCAGGCAACTGATGTAACAAGTGTTCATGAGTCTTATTTGGAGCAGAGAGGACATGTGGATTTGGCTGCTATCAAACGTTTTGGACCTTGAATTAACAGATATTCTGAGAAAAGAAATTACATGAATTTTCTTTAATAACCCCCAAAATAACGTGTTATTTTTGTGGTTTGGTTTCATACTGTGATTTGCAACCATGTTTTGAGTCTAGAAAACCTGCATTGTAAGTACTAAACATCTAAACAAACCCCATCTTCATGTGCTCGTTTCCTCCTCTCCTCCATCTGCTCTCTCCCCTCCTCCTCCTCCTCTTCCTCCTCCTCCAACAGTGGACGTGAGCTCGGCAGCGCTGCCCATGCAGGTGCCCCCCACCACCACAGCTATCCTTCCAATGGACCTGCGCGTAGTGGACCACCCCCACCACCATCACCACCGCCACCACCACCAGCAGCCCCCCTTCGGCCTGGGTCCACAACACCACCCTACGCCGGCGGTCTCTGCTGCCTGCCCTGCGTCCTCTGAGCCAGGCCGCGGTCCAGTCATCAGTAAGTGGCCGTTATCTCTGGTTCGCATGTTTGGTTGTTAAAAGTTAAAAGTTGTACTCTGACTATTCAATACAGAATCAGCTTTAATGGTTAAGTAGGCGTGAACACCATACAAGGAATCTAACTCAATACACATGCCCAGAAATAAACATACGGCAAAAAACGGGGGCCAAGCCGAACAAAGAAGAACGTGAACGCAGCTCTGCCTCCAGAGGCTCTAACGTTTTGGAAAATCTCCCACAGATCAGCCGGAGCAGCAGCTGCAGCAGGAGCTGGTAACCCTCAAACACAAGCAGCAGCTCCAGCGGCAGCTCCTGATCGCCGAGTTCCAGAGGCAGCACGAGCAGCTGTCGCGACAACATGAAGTCCAGCTGCAGGAGCATGTCAAGGTGAGTGGATGAGGAGGGAGTCCCGCCTTGGACACAGCTACCCGTAGGACTGCGCTCAGCAGAAACGCACCATCGTGAAGGACGGGGGAGGGAAGCATGTGTACACTAGAGCGATGCGAGTGCAATCTGATCTGGTGGCAGTATTTTGGCTGCTTAGTCATCCCCATGGGAAACCTTGGCCCCAATAAACCTTGTAGTGTGTGTGAATTTGGACGCGATTCACTTTGCTAAAAAAGTCAGCCAAATGAGGACGATCAATCGGGTACGGAAATAACTGATGTGTATTCTCCAGTCTGCTGGTTAGCGTTTAGTGAATTGGACTCTGCGTGGTGATGTCATGGCCTTGTCAGAATACCTATCTATTCAGATCATTGATTCTGTACAATTAGGCCGTGGCTACACCTTGTCAAAGACTGTCTTCTGAGTTTGCTCATCCTGTGTAGTGTCCTTTACCCACTCTTCTCTGTCTCCTTGTACTTTTCTTCCTCCTTTAGTCTTGTGTCTCTCTCCACCAGCACCAACAGGACTTACTGGCGCTCAAGCACCAACAGGAGCTGTTGGAGCACCAGAGGAAGATGGAGCAGCAGCGTCTTGAGCAGGAGATGGAGAAGCAGCAGCGGGAGCACAAACTCCTGCAGCTCAAAAACAAGGAGAGGGGGCAGGAGAGTAAGTAGCGACTTCAAAGCCTTATGCCTTCATTACACAAGGCATCCGAACATCCTAGTAGTGACCTGAAGGAGATCAGTTATGAGTGTTAGTGGATTGGCATCCCCGGGGTTCAATAGTGTCACCAATGAGCTTTTAATAAAGCTGTCATGTTTGATCATATATTCCCTTTCCATCTCCTGAATGCGGCCAACCGTGCCGAAGCACCGTGTCATATCACAGCACCTGTCCTCATGGCCTTGCGGTCAGAACAGCCTGACCTGGCACATTCACCACGGTGGGGGGGGATCAGAATAAGAGGCACAAGACCAGTGCCATTAAAGTGGCACACATGCCCTCTTTTTTTTGTCTTTACATTTGTTCTCTTTCCCTCGACTCATCTTATTTGAGGAACCAAATGACAGCGATGAAGTTACACCAGTAAATTAGCTGTACCCTGACATCATCTATTCATTTTTGTTTCTTATTAAAGGATAATTTGGTTTATTTATCCTTCATGATAACATTGTACTCACCGAACGGCCCAATGAGATCATGGAACACGATGACGTTTCTACAACAAAGTCAGAAACACGAGCTGTCATCTGATCAGACTGGTTGTCAACAAGCCAACAGCCAGATTATCTGAACCACTTTATTCAGCCATTAAATCAAATGCGTGCCAGGAATGTTGGTAACAATCCCTCATTGCATAGGAAAACTGTGTGTGCGCAAACCATTACAAATAGGGGGAGGTCATAGATGGATTAGGGAGATCTGAAAACGGTGATGGATGTTTACGATGGACAGATGGGTAATCATTTTACAGTTCCCTTTTTGTTTTCCTAATAACTTCTGCTCTGCTGCTGGGGATTTCTATCAAATCTATTCGATCATCGGACTGCTTGATTTAAGAAACAATTTCAATATTGCCAAAATTCCCAGATCTGCAATTAATTTGGTGTGTAAAAGCTATCGTGAGCACTAATGGCCAAAACCAAAGTCATTCTTTGTTGTTCATCATTGATGGTACCTTTACTGTCAGGAGTGATGCTGGTCCTGCTGCAAAGTGACAAATAAAAATGTCCTAGCATTAATACTCAAATGAGCTTTGACACAATTGCATTCTTTTTCTGGCAGGAGGAAATGTGTGTGGCTGTTCTTTGAGCTAATTGCTTTTCTTGTTCCCGTAATTGTTTTATACTGCATACATAGAAGGCGAGATGAAAGACTCAAGTTGCCACATTCAGCACTTTCAATTGCCTTTTATTTGAGGGGTGCACATTATAGGAACTTGCCTCACTACATATGTTACTCAGTGTTCGTATCCACATAAAACGCGACTTGAAGGGATCTCAAAAAGTGTTAAAGGTGCTTTTTAAATTGGAAATGGCTGCTAATGAGGAGAAAATTACTCTTTAAGCCTTAATCCAATGCTTCTAGTTTCAAAGTTCCCATTAGTTGATGACTGATTAACTGAGGAAAGTTAATCAGTCATCAAGACTGTGTTTTTTATTATGATCATTGTTAGTATGACTGTAAAATGCTGTGATGTGTTTTTTATGGTCAGGCCACGATGTGGTATTTCGGCACAAATCCATTCCAATATTCTTAATGGTGGACGCACATGTAGAAGTATGATTTTTTTTTTTTTTTTTCTGTCAGTGAAGCCCATTTCATCAACCATTCTCTGCTGGGCAATAGCCTCCAGTTTGACATCTGTGGAAAGAGCATCGGGTTCGTAAACAGAGGAAGCTTTGTTAAGTACTGCAATAAATCGCATAGAAGGCAGTCTCATAAAAGCCAATTTCCTTCAGTGGCAATGCGGACATATTAGGATGTCAGCACTTCCCGCTGCACCGTGATTTAGTGAGCATATATTAGCTGTTGTCACGTTCACATACTGTATTTACCACTTTCTCTCTCGAGCTCAACACGTCCCCGGTTATCACTCCCACTGTCTTTACTGGGTTTTCTTGTATTCTCAAAACACCTATTTCTGTCCCCCCCCCCCCCCCCACACCTTTATTGCACTCATCACTTCGTTCCTCGGTCTCTCTTTCTCCCTCCCTCACTCATCCACCTCTCCCTCCCTGGACAATTTGTTTGCAGCTGTGAAACGAGGGTGGTAATTGAAAAGAGACCGGGAGCTGAATGAAACTTGCATGAGTTACAGAGCACTACTGTCGCCTCTGTGGAATTCCTAGTGAAACTCTGATGCAAGACCGCGTGCAGGTTACAAACCCATTATCGGATGGATGTTGTTATAATCTTCACGTTAGGTGTCACAGGTTGAACAGGAGGCACAGTGCTGAAGGAAGTGGCGATAAATTAAAAAGTGTACATTCCTTTTGGTTACTAAGTCTCACACGTCTCTCTGCATCTCTCCGTCTCCGCCAGGTGCCGTCGCCAGTACAGAGGTTAAGATGCGACTTCAGGAGTTTGTCCTGAACAAGAAGAAAGCGCTGGCTCAGCGGAGCCTTAACCACTGTCTGCCCAGCGACCCGCGCTTTTGGTATGGGTGAGTGTCGCAGCCCGCCGCTACAGAAGCACTCATGGTGTTGGGATGTGACCGGTTGGGAATGGAGAATTTATGCCATATTAGGTCAAAATTCAAGTTTATTTCAGGTGAGAGTTCCGTTTTACGACCGGAATTACAAATGTGCAACCTTTCCGTAGCGAGCATCATTGTCAAATTTAAAAATGCTTTATTTTTTACTTTTTTTTTTTTTTAGAAAGCCTGAACAACAAATCATGAGCTCGGCTTTGTAACTTTTGTTCATATCTTTATAATATACTTTGAATATTAAAGAAAAGCTGCATTTCAAAGGAAATGATGCACAATATACAATATTTTTTTCTCTTTAATACTAAGCTTTTAATGATCTTCAAATGTTACTTCATGTTTTTTTGCTTTAAAAGAAGAAACATTCCACACAGATGAAAACTTTCATTATCAGCCTGTATTGTTTTCTTGTAGTTGTATAAGCCTTTTAGTTGTTGCTCTTTCTTATCTCAGCAAAAAACAAATATCCACACTCAAGACATAAAAGACATAAAAGGCCGTCGTCATTGTGGCTTTTGCAATCATGGCAGCCCTTCCGGTGTTGTGTGGGTATCCCTGGTCCCCCTGCATTAAGAAGTAAGAAGTTGCCAGCATCAATCTTAGAGTCCTCGCCTGTTGCCTTGAAACTGCAGAGGAAACACTGGAGGAACGCGCCTTTTTCGTCTGCCAATGTTTGTAGTGGGTGATTGACAGCTGGCTCTCTTTGAGGCGTGTGTTTGAAGTGGGCCGAGAGAAAAGACAATGGCACCTCTCATGCGCTTTAAATATTTGAAGAGGCTTTAAGCAGTCAGACATTTCTGCCGAGGCAGAAGATGATAAAACGATGCAAAGAGTGTGTGAGGAAAACGCTTTGCCTTCACTGTCACCACCATCACCATTTCTCCCATTGCTTTACTCCCCCACCTGTTTGCTTCCTCCTCCATTCTTCCCTCTTTGAGCCTCATCTCTCCTCTCGCTCTGCATTTCTAACCCTCTCCATCCCTGTCTGTGTGCATTTTTCACCCACCTCTCAGAAGGAAACTAGGCCTCGGCCTCTTTGCTGTCTTGTGGTGACAGAGACGAGCAGCGGATGCTTTCAGCTCACAGTCTCGGTCCCCTCTTTCTACTCTTTGTCTCTTTCTCCACTCCACCCACATTGTTGTCTTCTCTGCTGCGTCTTTTAAAGTGTTGACCTTGCGGAGGTCTATGGAAAATCAAGTAAGGTACAGTGGGAACAGCGAGATTGGCAAACAAATACATGAATACTGATGTATTAAATATATATATTTCTTTTCTTTTTTGTAGAAAAACCCAGCACAGCTCTTTGGACCAGAGCTCTCCTCCCCAAACGGCATTGTCAGCGTACACCCACCCGATGCTGGGCACATACGACTCAAAAGACGACTTCCCTCTCCGCAAAACAGGTACAGAATGATGCCATGGTTTTGCTGAGGTATTGCTACCTCCTGATATCCATATTCCTCCACCTCTTAAAACCACTACATGTCTTGAGGGGAGCCCTAATCTCCCTTTTTCCTTTTGCATTAGCAATGGAAATGGCTTATTGGGTTTCAAAGTCAGGCACATGAACCAGGAGTCAGCCACTGGGGGTTTAAAAGGAGCCCCTAAAATAGTCTGCAGAAGTTATTTAATGAGGTCCTTTCAACCATTCTTATGTAAATGAGGGCAGGTGGATGGAGAGTGGAACTCTAAATTAGAACATTAGAACAGAAGAGTTAGGTGGAAGATTTTTTTAATCTTAAATAAGTAGCTGGAAGCAGCAGCCTCTTAGCTTAGCTTAGCATAAAGACTGGAAGCAGGAAAACACATCTAGCCTGTGTCTTCTCAAAGGTAAAAAAAAATCAGCCTCCCAGCACCTCTAAAGCTCATTGATACATGAAATCTCAAAGTGAAGAAATGACAATGTTACGGGGGGTTGTGTGCACGACTATTTCTTTGCCGGCTTTTTTTCTTTTTTCTTGGATTCAAGGTCTTACAGTGAGTCATTGTGGACATGTTCAAGGATTTGAGTCTGAAAATGAGGTCCACACTTCTATTCAGCCTTGTGCTTCATCATCAGGTGTAGAATTTCTGGTAAAAAAAAAAGAGATTTTGAAAAGCCAGTCGGCTATTCTCCTGTTTTTAGATATTAGCTCATTCAGGGACGCAGCTCCACAGACGTCATAGATCCTACCGTTTAACAAAGCAACCATTCACTACTCTGAGAATTGTCATAAGAAGCGCTGAAAAAAACCAGCAGTTCCTGCCTTTTGGATGCGTCAGACTCCGTCCCTCTGTCCAAGTCAAGCACAGCCAAGCTGTGATTGTTCACTTAGCGTCGGCAGCTGCCTCGGCAGTATCGCTGCCTGCTGTCACAGCTGGAGGCCAGGCTATGTGTACTCTGCACTCCTGCCCACCCGCTGTGTGCTGGAGGCAGTGGAGGATTTGTCCTGGCACACAACCTCAAGACAGCAAGTTTCAACTTTCAGGGACAGTGAGATGTAATTCGGGGATTTCTCAGGGTGCCAGAGGTGCTGAGAAATATTCACAACTTACAGTTTCACTGTTCATAGTGACACAAAGTACAACAGGCACTGTAGCACAAACATATCACAGTGCATATATCAAGAAACTTTCAAGAGAGGATTTGGAGGCATTGTTCTTTGTTGTGAGGAGAAGCAGAGAGGGAAACTGACAAGTGCTCACACAGGCTACTGCACAGCTGTCGAGGAACTGTTGTGTCAACAGTGAGCCGACACGCTGGAGATCAGATTAGATGGGCAGACAGAGATGAACTGTGTTCAGGAAGGAAGTGACAGTGGTCGCCACAGTTGTGCGCCGCGCTGACGACTTGGCGCTGTCGCATGTGACGTTTTCGCTTGTGCCGATGACCCATTTTCTCTCACGTATGCGTGTAAATCCTAAATGTACGTTGGGAAGGCGAGGCCAGGCGTACAGTTCCAACAGGGGTTCCTTGTCTTGAGTCTGAGAGGCTCTGTGATAATGGAGAACACAGAGGGCCACTTTTAATGCTGTGGCAGGAAGTCTGCAAGGCCTTCATGACAGACACAGACTTGTCATGCTGACCCCCTTTGTCACCCACTCTTTCACACACTCGCTCACACACACTCTCACACATTCTCATACCACACTGTGCACTGAACATTTAAACCCTGCAGCATAGCCACATACAGATTGCACTTTCATACGAGATGACTTCCTTGTTGATCTCCTCTGACCCCCAATCCTCGCCTTCCACTTTAACCCCACTTATCGTAGGACTTGATTGTATTCAGAGCATATCTATTGCCTCCGCGTGGCTCTCAACATGGTGACTGCTGAGCCGATGGCTACCAGCTAACGGTGCAGACAGCGCTAACAGTGCAAACAACTTTATCTTTACTTTGTAAATAGTTGTTTGCTGCGATACTAATGCTCTGAATTTCGAATTTAGTAGCTTAAACTAAACCAAAGTCATTGTTAAACGCCTGCTATTTCATACATAATCTCAAACACATTGGCTTTGAACTTCACACTTTTTTGTTGACACTTCGGTGACACAACAACCAATGAGAAAGCGCCATTAGCTGTAACTGTCAGCGGGAAAATGCCAGCCAGCTCTTTGGTAACACTATGCTTATATTTACTTCATACGTCAGTATGTTATAAAAATATATATATGTTATACTATTTGAAGATAAAGGTATTTTGTGAAAAGCTAAGATAGCTTAATGTTTGATCAATAATTTTGGTTGTAAAGAGATTTACAAACAGACCTGTCCATCTTGTGTGTCTGTTTACCTACGGTCTGTCGGTCCTCAAACCTATCCATCTAACGTATCATCAATAGATAATTCTGGGAAGCTCCACTGATGAGTTTCAGCAAACTGCTCTATTGATTTCTATAAATCTCCCTCCACTCTCTGCCCTTCCTTGAAAGAGCAGCACGGCTTCCCCCAGCACGAAGCCCGGGACTCCCGTCGGTCAAAACAGACGAGCAACTGATCAATATGTTTTGTATCAGGGAACCAGTTCCCTCCTCCACTCCTCCTCCATTGAAATACTGAGCACCACTTATAGAGACGTTTAATCTGGTATTGATAATGATATGTCATCAGATGGGTAGTGATATAGGGACTTCACTTTAGAGTGTTAATGGCTATCTTGAAGTGTGAAAATGCATCTGAGAGAAACATTGGAAGTTATTTTTTGTCTTGTGTAATAGGAGATAACATGTAGAGGCGAACCACGCTTAGAGAAATCAGCAATACAGCACTTTCTCTTATGAAAAGAGACATTTGAGGCCACGTGTCCTATCAGTTTGGGCATATAATACATAGCATATAAAGTGACTACTTTGGATTCGGGAGTGTCATTACACTACCTCGCCTCAAAAGCCAATTTGGCCACCCATGGCTAGTGTGGAAATTTCTTTTTAAAGTTTATACCTTTATATTGCCAGGACTGTAGGTTGCAGCAGTCCAGGTGATTTTCTACTTTTCTTGTTGCCTGACAATAGAGGATGTAAAGTTACAATAGTCAGAATGTGGCAGGATAGCTGAATAACTTGGGAAAATGCTGTTGTGTCAGTTTAGAAATGCTGTTTTCTGGACCGTCAACAGCGGAAAATAGAACGGGGAAGTATACAGTAACGAGGCAGCACCTACACCTATGCCAACGGTTGCTTCTGATCTGCACATTTGCGTGGAACAAAAACTAGAGAGAGTGGCTCAACAATGAAGGAGAGAGGGAGTTATGCCATGGGAGAGAGAGAAGTGGGGATTTAGAGGGGGGGGGGAGACAGAGAGGAGGGGATGGATGGAAGAAAGGTCTACAGTAAAGTGCCAGCATCAGCAGTAAAGCCAGTCTGGGCCCTCTGCAGCGAGTGTGTTCGCACGTGTGCACACTGGTGTGCTTTTGCCCAGTCGGCATTAACACCCTTCAAAGTCACTGCGTCCTGTGGTGAACACCCCGTGGCAACCGGTGCCCGGCAAACACACACCCCTACTTCAACCTCCTCTCTCTCCTTCACTGTCCTCCTAACCTCCCTCTAACCTTCCATTCGTCCTTCTATCTATCTATCCCCTCTCTCTCTCTCTCTCTCTCTCTCTCCCTCCCTCCCTCCCCACTCCTCCTTTTAGCCGTCCATTTCTTAATGACTCAGGACGCACAAACGCAACCTTGACCATCCTCTGCTTCATCATCCTTGTGTTCTTTTTCTTTCCTCCCCTGGCACCAGATAGACCACCGTTTCAGTCACCGTCGCAGCCGGTTTCCTGTCACACCTGTGTAATATTTCTTTAAGCATGGCTTTGTTTATTATTTAGCATAGCAAGAGATGATTGTGGCAATGTCAAAATGTCAGACTACTACGGTCCCCTGTGCAATAGACTCAAATTGAACCTGAATGCACTACGCTCCTTCTGCTACTGTCAGTTCAGCTAATGCATAGCAGTTCATCCCGACCCACTCCATCGCTCTTAACAAAGACTTTGGAAGAGTGCCCTCCACTTAGAAGAAGAAGAAGCTCTTTTTTAAATAATTGAGTTTCATAAGTTCAGGCACGTGTCCCCCTTAAAATTGAAAGTGCATTTGAAAAAGTGCTTAGACATTATAAATTCCCAATTGGTCATCTTATCCTCACCAACCAGGAGGTATATTGAGTGCTTGTACCTCTTTGAATTACATTAAAACTCTGTGTAGCCTCATCCTACCTCATTCAAGGCCACAGGAAGCGAGGGGCCAAAGGGTTGGCAGTGACCCCGAATACGTCCTCTGACAATAAGCCGCTACAGTACACGAAGAGGAATCAACTGCTTCCACTCAGCTGTACCAAAAAGTCCCAGCTCCTTCTCTCTGAGGCTAATGAACTTAGCGTGGTCTGTTTGATACAAGGTTGCGGACCGAGCAGAAGGTCAACCGTTGGTCAACCCGCTCAGCTTCAACTAATTGAACGGAAGGAAGCCAGTGGAGGAGGGAATAAAGCTGCCCGTGTCTGGGGTAGTCTGGCAGAGACGGACACCAAAGCAAGATTGTCCAGATAAGGTCAGGTCCTATCCCTGACCTGACGAGATTCCCAGAATAATCTCAATGCTTGCCTCTTCTCCGTCCTGCCCTCACGCGGCACTTCGCCAACACGTCTTCCGCCGCAAATCCAGAAACGAGAGGCAAGAGCCCCAAGAGATGTAGGGCCCGGCCTCACAAACACACTTGACGACGGACAGTGACTGTGTTTTTGTAATTGAAAGTGTCTGGAAACGAGTTCGTTGGCAGAGCATGGAGGCAGCATCATTAAGCGTGGGGTCAAGAAAGCTGCCAGTTGGCTGCCTCCTTTCTTGTTGCGGCGCTTCCCACTGTCACATGACGCCGGCTAACCCTCGACTCCGGAATCTGTCTGATTGCCGGAGCGACACTTCACAGGGAATCTGTAATTTTCACTCTTACAGGGCAAATTTGGGGTGTAACACTTGGATATTTTTAGAATGGACGGCAATAACCTTGCCATTGCTTAGCTCCGTCTGCTAAAAATTTGGTAAATGGGATGGAATAAGCCTCATTTGTCGACAACAATTGACAACAAAGTTTCATCAAATGTAAAAGAAGATATTGAATTACTTTTGAGTTTTGTCTTAATATAGACTGAAACTCCTCCAGCTTTTGACTAAATCCTCCGTCATGTCCCTGCTCCCCTCTCTGTCTTGCCAGCCTCGGAGCCCAACCTGAAGCTTCGCTCCCGGCTAAAGCAGAAGGTGACGGAGCGCCGCAGCAGCCCTCTTCTCCGGAGGAAAGATGGCGCCATCACTACCGCCAAGAAGCGTTCCCTAGACGTGGCTGGTGAGCACGCTGGATTTCCTCCTTTGGTTCACAATGAAGAATCTGATTTCCCCTGTAGTTTGATAGACAAGCAAAAGAGTTTAAAATATTCTTCTCCATATTTGGAACATCAATGACTGGATTTTGCCTAGTAACATGTTTTTTGATGGCTTGAATATAGTCAAACACTATCATCATTAATTTTAAGTGAGGAAACAAACTAAAATCCATACTTTATAATATGAATACACACCAGAAAGACTATCAGAAAACAGAATACTTCATCTTAGAAAGCTCAGTATCTCAGAAGCATCTAATGTCTGCGTTGTGTGTCATAGAGTCCGCATGCAACAGCGCACCAGGCTCAGGTCCCAGCTCCCCCAACAACAGCTCCAGTAACATCCCCAGTGAGAACGGGGTCACCATCTCCAGCAGCCCAGGAGAGGTAACCGACATCACCGCCAGCCTCTGCATTTGCATTACCGAACATGCGTGCATGCGTGTGTCTTCTGCCGTTTGTGTGTAGTGGGGGAAGACGGGTGACCAGACGACTCCAGGAGGAGATTGGCATTGTCTGTTTTACACACACATACACTCAGAGCTCAAGCTCTGAGTGTGTGTGTGTGTGTGTGTGTGTGTGTGTGTGTGTGTGTGTGTGATAGAGGCGAAGTAATGCACTGTATGTAACACTATGTCTACTTTGTGACTGTACTCTGCAAGTATTTACTGTAATGTTGTGTGTTTGTGTGTGTTCAGGCCTCCCTGCTTCACAGGTTGGCTGCAAGGGAGGGTTCAGTCAGCCAGCTGTCTCTCTACACCTCCCCTTCTCTGCCCAACATCACCCTGGGACTGCCAGCCACAGGCCTGGCCAGCGCTGTGAGTATAGTCAATGCGCGGTGTTATGAATCTTTAATGCAGCATGACACCAAAGAATATTTAGTTTGTAAAACCGCTCTTATCAATTATTTTTTTGGCATGATGGTGCCTAACATGTGTGCCTCTCTTTCTCCATCTCACTCCCATTCTGTCTCATTTTGACCCTGCTTTGTCTCTGTCCATCTGCCTCTCTCTGTCTCCGCCTGCCTCCCTCCTTGTGTCTCAATCTCTCTCTCTCTCTTTCTCTGTAGGTGGTGTCAGGACACCAAGATGGTGAGAGTCGCCTGGCGTTGACCGCGCTACAGCAGGGGATTCCTCTGACCCCTCCGTTCCTGCCCACGGCCCACCTGCCCTCCTACTTGGCGTCTTCAGCTCTGGACAGGGAGGGGGCCGGAGGGGGCACAGCGGGTCACAACCCCCTCCTCCAACACATGGTGCTGCTGGAGCAGAGCCACAATCCAATGGGTAAGTAGTCACCGCATACATTTATGTAAGACATTTGTAGAAATTGATCTTAGTATATAACTTACAGTTTATTTTATGCTTCATTGGCTCACTGTTTTATATGACTGTAAAACTTTTAAAATCAGTGACTTGCAACGCTAATTTTCTTTTTTTAAGTAACGTGTAAATATTGTAGACAGCAGCTTTGCTCTTAGATGTAATGTCCCATGGGCCTTGTCTACATCTTCTCTTAAAGGGGAGTAGTTTCCTTTTATGTGACCTGGGACTCATTTTTATCATTTTTGCAATCCCGTTTGCATTTCACTCAACAGCTTGAATTGCAGAAATTTCAGGACACTCACACACAGCTACATGCGACAGAGTCCGCTCTACAAGGCATCACAGTCATGATGCATCAGACAAATTTTATGCCTCCGCGCCGTCGACAGCCGTGGCCTCGTGAATGTGACATCTTCAGGAAATGTCTCCAAATTTGGCACAAACTGTCTGAAGGTCTGAAGGATGAACTGATTAGAATTCAGGGGTCAGAGCTCTCTGTGACCTCACAAAATATATTTTTTGGCATAACTCAAGAATTCATATGCCAATTATGCCAATTTAGCAAAAAAGCCTAAGTGGATAAAAGGAAGTGATTACATTTTGGACAGACATGAGTGTAAACTGCAAATTGCCAGGTTCGCAGAGTTCTTTTAAAAAGGGCACTTACACCTAGTAATTGTTCTAAATTACTTGGAAGTGAACACAAAGATAAAGGTAACCAAACCATCCACTATATTCTTCTGTTGCAAGTATAAATTAAGTGATAAAAGTAGCCATAGTGGAGCTGGAAAATAATCATGTGGCGATGCCCCTATGTATCCCATCGTAAAGTTCCCAGTTTGGTCATTGACTTCCTACTGTATATCTGTGGCGCATTAAATATATTCAAAAGCAATGATCGTTAAACTACATAAATAAGCTTGTTGAAAATGCCAATGCCATTCTGACCGCTCTGTGTTCACCGCAGTTGGTCTGGCTGGCCTCCCGCTGCCATCGCCCTCTGTCTCCAAACTTGCTCGGGGCCACCGTCCCCTGGGGAGAACCCAGTCGGCCCCTCTGCCCCAGCAGCAGTGTGGACAGGCCCAGGCCCTGCAGCAGCTGGTGGTCCAGCAGCAACACCAGCAGTTCCTGGAGAAACACAAACAACAGTTCCAACAGCAGCAGCACATCATCAACAAGGTAACTCGATGTGTACAGGTGGGTGGGGTGTGCAAAGTGTGCATGTGTTGGTTGCCATCCATGCATGTGTGTTTGTGCACATGTGTCAAGAATGGTACCTGAGGCAACATTTGAACAGCTGTGCTGGAGCAGCCAGCTATATATGTTTGTGTGTGTGTGTGTGTGTGTGTGTGTGTGTGTGTGTGTGTGTGTGTGTGCGTGTGTGTGTGTGTGTGTGTGTGTAGGAGTTTTTCTCCATCTACACAACTTTGATTTGTTTAATGTCTGTGAATCCTGTCTCTGCTCCAAGAGCAGGATGAATCAGCCTGCAATCAGCAAGTCTTCTAGCAAGTCTCTCTTGTCCGTGTTCATGTATCCCTACTTCTCCCTGTCACCCTGGCAACTGTGCTCGAGAGGAAGCTGCCTCCATATTTGGTCACCCAGGAAGTGTGGCTCAGCGTGTGTGTGTGTGTGTGTGTGTGTGTGTGTGTGTGTGTGTGTGTGTGCGTGCGTGCGTGCGTGCGTGCGTGCATGCGCACAAGGTGATTTGCAGTGTTTATATGGTCATTGTAGAGAGGGAGATGGTTGTTTGTGTGTTTTTGTGTGTGCAGATATTCCCGCAGGAGTAAGTCCCATTATCTTGAGTCGTCGGGGTTGTTAGTGACTCCCTCTCGTTTAAAACGCCAGGTTGTTAATTAAGTCCAGCTTATGTGGAAAACCAGGTTATTTTCATGTCACATTCATTTGTGTTAATGCTCTTTTCCATGCCACTTAAAAGTGAGAAGTGCGCCTAGTGAGTTTGCTATTAACATAAAAAAAAACACAACTATTTCTCAGTTGGAGTGCACTAAACACTGTTAATCATTGAGCCATATATTAGAAATCGTAGAAGAGTAGCTAATTATTATGGGCATGTTCTGGACCCTTGCTTTAAATTCATCATGCATGTGTGAAACAGGATTCCTTCCCTAATTCCCTGAGTGTACCAAATCACAGAGCACTCACTGTGGACCCGTGTTATTTAAGACATTTTCAGCAGGCTTTGCCATTTGAATAATAAGCACTTCGTCAGTGCACAGTAGAAATCTACAGTAGCTAATGAAACACAGTGCGTTTAAGTGTGTCCATATTTTTGGTTAAGTTGAGTTCAACATTTAAAAAAAAGAAGCTGTCTGCCATGGTGGCTCATTGGGAAGCCTCACAGGAATCAGGGACCACGTTTGGAGGTGACAGCCAGCTGAGGCCTCTCTGTGTAGAGTTTGCACGTTCCCCCTGTGTTAGCGTGGTTTCCTCTAGCTGCTCTGGTTTCCTCCCAGATTGGCTTTGTTAATACCGTATGTTTGTCTATACAGTGTCTAAGCCCTTTGATAGACTGGCAACCACTGCATGTAGGCAAACAGCATTTACTTTGATGCACAAGTTGGAATTCTGACCATTTTCCACACCTTTCACTGTTAATTCACTTCAGTGACAAGTTGAAATTGTTGCTGCGGGGAGACCGAGAGGATGGCGGTTATTTAGTTAGCTGGGGCCCTACGGCATAGTTTGTATAGTCAGAAAAGTTCAATCAGCTTAAATGATCTGCCACCATTTCACAGTAACTATTTCAAGTGTGGAGATCACACTCCAAATGTCACCTGGAACACCTACGCAACTTATTTAAGTGATAGCCAGAGCTGGTGCAACAAACTAGAAGTGTGCATCAAGAAAACACCTTGTCATGTGATACCATTCCATTCTGTGCTTTGCCAGCGTTAATCCAAACCTTTGTATTCCTTTATGACATGTAGAAGTTGGTGATTAAGCAAGAATAGACTTGACTGAGTGAGTTGGCAGACAGTACTGGCATCATATCCAACTCAAATGAATGCTGCTATTTATGGGATCCCCAACGGTAAACGGTAAAATCGACGATAGCTGCAAAACAGGACAGTGGCATCTACAGATACCGAAAATCGGCCATCTAAACTACTAAATACTGGTCCCTTTAATCCTCACTGTGGCAAAAATCCAGGCAGCAACCTTGAGTTATGTCTAACGGACAATTTTGCTAATTATGTTTGCAGAAAATAGTCTGATTGTATTGAAGTCTATGAGAAAATGACCCTACTTTTCACTTAATCTATTCCCTCAGTAAACATTGTAAACATGAGTTTATGGTCTCAATCGCTAGTTTTAAGTCTTCTTCAATACAGCATGATGTTCATTCAGTAAACTATGGTCCCATTTAGAGTCAATTAGATGATGAAGCTTTAGGGCGTGGCTACCTTGTGATTGGCAGGTCGCTACCGTTAACCCTTTCACCATGACTTTTCAGTGTATGAACGTTAATCGTAACCTTTTTGGTCTCCTTTGGTCGGTTGTACTTAGCTCCACCCTGTCGTGTCACTTCTGGTTGCAAAAAAACAAGATGGTGACAGCCAAAATGGCAAACTCGCTTCAAAACCGCAGTCCACCAACCAATGGGTGACGTCACACTGACAACGTACACTTCTTATATACGGTCTATGCAAAAGTCTAGCTTTGACATATGGCTGCTCTGGCTAAAATATTCAGTTTGATTTTTTTATTTTTAAATGCATTGTGTTTCTTCCTAATATAATGTTACAGTTCCAAAGCCATTTGAGTTGTATACCCAGTAGTCCCATTCATACCAAATGTAATGTAAATATATAATGTCCCCAGCTAGTCATTGACTCTGTTTTGTCTCTGTACTGCCTCTCAAATAACATAGCACAATGGAAAATGTAGAAGTACCCCCAAGATATACTATCGCTTGCTGCATAATAATAATAAAATCAGGTTTTAAAAAATAACACACTTTCCATTTAACGTGAGCAAATGCAGCACAGCGGCCTGTCTCTGCAGAATGATTTTAATAGCTTTGTTTTAAATTCTACAGATAAGGACCATCGTGGCTGCTATTAAATTTGATAATTACCATATGCACGAGTTCAGTATCACAAACTATCCTTGCAAATGTCCCAGTGGTATGGTATGTTTAGTTTTATTGATCACAACTGGACAGCCACCACTTTGTAAAACCTGAATCTTCAAGTCAAGTCGGCAAGGAAAAGGAGCCCTTCCTGCTACCTTAAATTTTGTCTTTCACTGTCAGACATGTTGGCAGCGAAGAAAGGAATGAAAGAATCTTGAAACGGTTCCAGCCCGAGCCTGCTGCTTCCTTGTTGGTTACCTAAGGGCGATACTGAGGTGTACTCTCTTACGTGATGTTGTTGTGAAAGTGTGTGAAGAATGCCGACAGACGGTGACAACTAGTGTCAAGTGTTTGTGTGTACGATCACCTTCTCCATCTCCCTCTCTCTCTCTCTCTCTCTCTCTCTCTCTCCTCGCTCTGATTCAACAGGCTTATGTAGTGCCTGTCCCCCTTACGGTTCATATCCCAGCAACTATTCCCTCTGTTTAAAAGGAGGGCTGAGAGAGAGAGAGGAAGAGTGAGAATCAGTGCAGCAGGAGTGAATGAGTGTTTTGAGTTTGTTTGGAGAGGAGGGACTGGGATGAGGCAAGAGCCTGCTCTCTGACGTCAATGGACTGTTCCCTGGGCAATATGCCAGCCAAGTGTGTTTGTGTTTCTGTGGATGTGTTTGTGTGTGTGTGTGTGTGTGTGTTCCACGCAGTGGTTCACTCCAATCATGACCTACACATCAAGGTTGAGGTCTTTGACTACAGGGACGGGGACAGCTGCCACAACAAGATTCCTACAACGACCCCTCAACGATTCTTCCTCTCTTTCTCCCTCATGTCCTCTTCTCGGTGTTCTCCTCTCGTGCAGGCCCAGGCATAGTTGAGTTCACTACCTGTGTATGAATTTCAAATATAGTTATGGAGATCTCTAAGTAAATACATAACAAAGAGTTCAGAGAACCGGTCTGGTTTATCTCTGTGTGTACAGAAAGTACAAGTGCCTGGCTAATGTTAGCTTTTGTTTGGGTAACCTTAAGGTCTTTCACGTTGTTGTTGTTTTGTACTCTAGTCGAGCAGTCAGCTATTTTTGGAATGAACAACAACAGTACTTGATGAAGTGGTGCAGGTTGTGCGGCACGGCACATTGCTTTCTGTGGTGTTCTCTCAGGCGTGATGGCAAGTCTTCCTTCCCCTCTTTTCTCATGTTGTGAAGCTTGACTTCTCCTCTAAAACATTATGTCTGAACAAGGATTCATTTAATGTAAGATTAGTTCTAAACGGCAAAACTATCCAGATTCAAAATAAGCAGAGCTCTGTTGAACAATTAAATCAACAGATCAATCCTTGTTTAGTTAATCCAGATTTCAACCTAAATGAAATATGTTGAACTATGCTGTGCATAGTTATTTTAGAATAGTGTTAGAGTTTTATCAATATGGAGATGCTTGTTTACCCAAATTAAAATAAATGAATAAACCAATTTGTGTGCTGTTAGGACCTACAAGTAAGGACCTATAAGTAGGTAATAAAAGAGGTGGGGGAGGGAACAGTTAAGTTTCAGGTGCATTGTATTCCTTTATTGAAAATTCCATTGTTTGCTCGTTGGCGAGCTAAAAAGTCAGTTTGTTAGCCTAATGTTACTCATGATGGCTCCACAGAGAAGCTCTAATTTCTCCTCCTGTTAGAAAGACTTGTTGGCCAAATGAATGGCCAAATAATAAAAGATTAAATTTAATCTAGTTTTAGAGTAAAAACTAAACTGACTTCTAAAAAAGACTCTCATCTGACCTTTTCTCTTTCCATCCTCTAGATCATGTCCAAGCCCGGTGATCAGGTCTCGGCTGCGAGCTCCAGCGCCTCGGGGCCGGCCAGACAGCACCAGAGTCACCCAGAAGAGACGGAGGAGGAACTCAGGGAGCACCAGGGACTCTCCCTTTCATCCCCGTCGTCGTCCTCAACATCCGCGCAGGAGACGGGGCCTCTGCGAGGGCTAGTCATCAAGCAGGAGCCCCCAGACCCCCAGGAGCACCAGCAGGAGGAGAGAGAGATGGACTACCTGTTCCGACAGGTGAGGACACGGGGCGGGAAGAGGAGGGCAGGTGGGAGTGGGAGGAGAAGACGATGCGAGGTCGGAACAGCGGGAAGAGGAAAAGAAACGATGGACGTGTAAAAGTCTGGGTAAAAAGAAAAGGAGAGTGAGACAAAGAGTGAATGATGGGGATTGTTGAATTAGAGTCAGTTAAAATGCAGATTACACAAGTTTAATCTTCTTTTCACACTTTCCAGAGTCAAAATAGAAAGAAGGAAGATAAAACAAATTTTAATATTGGCATCAAATCCCTCCTCTGTAGCATTATCTCATCATGTGTATGTATTACCACAATAATAACTCTTTTGTCACTGCTTGCCTAAATGTTATTTTTTAAAGAAAATGAATGATCTTATAGCAGACACAGATGGAGCTAGTGACTAGCTGAAACATTCAACCCTCTTCACTGTCCATATTCTGAGTTTTAGTAGAGCACAGGTTGTACTTCCACACATGCTAACGCAGAGTAGTGTGTGTGTTTTTATATTTTTATGAATGGCTTAGGGCTTGTGAGCCTCCCCCACGCTACTCCCTAGCACGACTCCACATGGACAATCACATTCACATGCTTTCAAAATTCATGCATAATGTTCTCCACACAGAAACTCTCACTCAGTTTTGCATTCCTCTTGCACAGACATTTATATACTCCACATATCTTTGTTGCACACACACACACACACACACACACACACACACACACACACACACACCCAGTCAGGACACCATGTCCTCATCGGTCCAGCCCATCCCTGCTGTCCTTTCAGGCAAATTCAATCAGGCACTCCCCTCACTGTCGCCATGGCGCCCAATGTAAGCAGACGCGCCCATCATAATTTAACAACGGGATTGCTTGGTGTCAGACACATAACCCAGGTGCACAAGACACATAACCCAGGTGCACAGGACACATACTTGGGTAAAGTTTCCGAGTTCTTACATGAGACACTTTTCAAATGAAATCATCAATAAGTTCATGTCCCAAAAAATGTGCCCGTCACTTTGCTGTTTTGAAGGCAGTTTGATGGCTCATTATTTGTCGGGAAAGTATTTTCTGCCTCAGCATATCCTTTTTCCCCTTTTTAAAATATTTCATTGACTCCTAAGTACTTGAGAAAAAGCAGTATGTATGTTATTTTGGAAGGTTTTCAATATGTTTGGAAAATTACATGATGACCTATTTTTATTTTTAGTACTAGATCGTTGTTTGTCTTTTTCAGCCGATATCATATTTGACAGATTTCCCTGCATTGCTACCATATTTGTGTGGTTGTCATGCGATACACTACACAGAAGAGAAAACCCCATATGTCCCTGTGTTCAACTCTTATGCCTGCAGCATATATTGTGTAGCACAGCAGCTTGGTATTTGCAAGAATGTAGTGCCACCTACTGGAAGGGCAAATACATTGCAGTACAGCAGTCATCCAGTACATGTCCCCCTCTCTCTCTCTGTGTGTGCCCGTGTGCCCGAGCAGCAGGCTCTGCTGTTGGAGCAGCAGCGGATCCACCAGCTGAGGAACTACCAAGCCTCCATGGAAGCAGCCGGGTTGTCGATCAGCTTCGCCGGACACCGTCCCCTCTCCAGGGCTCAGTCGTCCCCAGCCTCCGCCTCCTTCCCCATGGTGGTTCAGGAGCCGCCGGCCAAGCCTCGATTTACAACAGGTCTGTAGGAAAATATTAATAATGATATGGGTCTAACGCAAAACACACTGCAGCATACATTGTGGTTTTTATTGGTGTGTGTGTGCGTGTAGCGCTCACACAGAGGTCCATCGTAAAGTAGAGCAGCAAACAACAATCTATCAGAACACACTCTAATCCTGCTGATTGCAGGTTAGAGGAAAACCGCACAGCATGATGAGCCAACACACTGTGGCTGTTTATACGCTCAAGGCTGTTGCTAGGTATTCTGAGCCTTGTGACGATATGCACCACAACAAGTGTAATTTACTCCACGGAGTCATCTCATCTCTCTGGATGCTCTCAGCGTTTGTTTACGGTGAAGCCGGTGCAATATATAATCAAATCATGGGACTTTCAACGGCGTGATTATAGGATTCCTGTTGCCACAACTGTTTCTGTCCTCGTTGTCAAAGATATACAAATAAATACACGGTGTGTGTGTGTGTGTGTGTATTGTTCCAGGTCTGGTGTATGACTCTTTGATGCAGAAGCACCAGTGTATGTGCGGCAACACCACCAGCCATCCAGAGCACGCCGGACGCATCCAGAGTATCTGGTCGCGACTACAGGAAACCGGCCTCAGGGCTCACTGCGAGGTAAGGCCGCAGTTACACTTGACCTCAATAGGTGTAACTTTGAAAGAGTATAATCTCCACCTGCTCTGTATGAGAAGTGTCCTGCAATAACATATGTTGTGATTTGGTGCTGTATAGATATAATTGACTTGACATAATGAAACTTTAGAGTTGCATGGATTCAATATTTATCGCTAGAGTTGAATTGTTCTGTCCTTGAGCTACGGTGAGTCAAGTATAAAAAAAAGTATGTTGTCCTCCCCCTCATCTCAATTACTGAGTACTTATTTAGAGGTTAGCACATAAATTAACTGTCGTGGTTTTTATACATTTGCCACATTACAAATATTTAGGCCTCCTTACACTGCACGAAAACACATGTTTTTAACATTTTAAAACAGAGGTTTTTCCTCTTCTTCTCGGTGTAAACCTGTTGTGATCTTAAGAAGTGGTGGCGGTGGAAGTTATGGGGGCGACCGTGGCCACTGGGTTAAGACCGCAGGGTCAACGGTTCGATCCCTGACTGGGACGTGTCACGTGTCGAAGTGTCCCTGAGCAAGACACTGAACCCCTAACGCCTCCCCGGGCGCCTGTCATTGGCAGCCCACTGCTCCCTGTATACAGGGATGGGTCAAATGCAGAGACAAATTTCCCCTTCCGGGATCAATATAGCATAATAAATAAAAAAAATTAAAAGTTAATAGTATAAAACCTGCCAGTATTCAACTCTGAAATGCAAGTTGTTTTAATGAACAGAAGGGGGCAGTGTTTAGCTATTTTCTCTTGACACCAGGCCTTACCAAAGAAAACCAAACATTTTGAGCTTATGGCATTAAAATGAACCACTTTCACCTCCTAAACTCCATTTACTGTAAACATGCAGACACCACTGTGCCTCCATATGTGCCGTACCTCTTCATGAGTGCGGGACACAAACTTCAAACAATGTAACTCCATCCTTGCCGTCTTCGTTGGTGACTGGCAGTTTGGATGGTGAGCAAGTCGTTTTGACCAAATCCTCTGTCCTACTCTGTGACCAGTGTATCCGCGGTAGGAAGGCCTCGCTGGAGGAGTTACAGACGGTCCACTCCGAAGCCCACGTCCTGCTCTACGGAACCAACCCGCTGCGGCAGAAACTGGACTGTAAGGCATACAATGACGCATCGATATACGCACACAAATGCATTAACACATTCAGGGTAAATTTGAACTAATCTAGCAGCAGCAGTATCGAATACAAGGCAATCTGACTGCCAGCCATGCCGCTGTCTTAACTAGTCTGCTAGGCTATGAATGAGTGTTGAGATAAATAGTGTTGCTCAAGTGTTTCACAGTACTTTACACACAGGCTACATGCAGACAACACACTGCACACATCAGTCTACATGCATACAGGCAACTTTAATTGTTGAGCTGTCCATTTGAGCAGACTAAATCTCAGACTAAGTCCTCCTCTTAAATGCCACAAACCTGCAGCGTCTGTGAAAGGAATCTGCTTTAATGCTTAAACCGTGTCACAACAAAAGGTCCGATCTAATAAAGTCCTGGAGGTGTTACGATAAGGTGAGGAACTGCTGAAGCTTGTTAACTGGAAGTCGCACATGCTGCTTTGTCACTTATGTCTGGCCTTTGTGGCTTAAAGCGCAGGTGTAGCCAAGGCATTCTCGTTGTGCGTTTGTGTGTGTGTGTGTGTGTGCGCGCGCGCAGAAAGCTAAGGGGCAAACCCCAGTGGTCATTTTAGCTTTCATTCCACTGGAGACATAAATTCCCCTCATTATTACTGCTTACACAGGAGAATTACCAGATAATCCTGTGTAAGGTTCAGCACACTGCTGGGTTTGCACAGACACAAAAATGAAAATGGAGAAGAAAGAAGTGGAAATGCAAACCGTTATAAACCTAGTGGAAACTAGTCAGTGATTAACCTAGTCCTAGACTCTGTATTAACTACCTGGTTAGGGGTTGTTAGACACTGTTGATGGATTTTTAACAAATAAGCGAGCGGCTGACTGACATTCGGACCCCCGTCTGAGTGCCACGCTCTGCCCCTTGAGCTTCAGAGGTCTGAAACTTTACGCTAGTCCAGTTGTTAACACGGGATTGAGATTAGTTTAATGTTTTGATAATCCGAGCAGTTTCTACATGCTGCTTTAAAATCTATTAACAGGGTCAACTGTCAGTTAGATCAAATTTAAAGGCAATTACAAGTTGTTTGGAGAATAAAAAATAAATAAATTGCCATTTAGAGAAAATTCTAACCAACTAGTTTTCTGTTTATGTTCTGACCTAACAGAAAGTCAAAAGTTCACTCATTTCCATTTTCTATGAACGGATCTCTCTCTGGCCTAAAATCTTGATTCCCACTGAAGAACAAGGAGAGGGTTTAATTATCAGGGCAATGAGATACTTCTTTTCCCCTTCACCTCGCCCAATTAAGGCATGCCCTTGTATACTCTCGCTCTTAGATTAGGTCAAAGGGTCAAATGCTCAGTTTCTAGGGGGTCATGCACCCGTTTGTGCATGTGATTTCAGAAAGTTACCTCCTTACCTGGTCGCTCTCTCTTTTCTCCATTTCCATTTTACGGTTTCTAATTCCACATTTCTGTCTTTCTGCCTCAGGTTCAGTGAGTCCCATGTTTGTGAGGTTACCGTGCGGAGGCATAGGGGTAAGTCACTTCCATTCACTTCTTAAAATCCCTTGAGTCATCTAACAAATATTCACTAGGTGATGAAGTATTGGTAATTTGTGCGCCTGCTATAACTTGGAAATATCAAGTGTTAGTCACACTGTTGTAGTAGACCGTTGGGTTTTTTTACAACACTGTGCTAATCTAATCAATACCCAACCTGCACTGCTCCATCTCACTCTGTAATGAAACAAACAAGCATAGTTTCAGCATCATCAAACAGCAGTATAATAACTGTGTTCGCCCACTCTCTCTCTCTCTCTCTCTCTCTCTCTCTCTCTGCCTCTGCCCCCTGCCTAAATAATGGTCCCATTTGTTCTTGTTCCACCAAACAGACACACGCACACACACATACACAAATGCCCCTTAAGGACCAGAGGCAACAAAACTGTTGCTTGCTTTTCGCAGTGTTTGTAATTATAACCAGATGTTTTCAGCATACAAGCTGTGTGTGTGCGTGTGTGTACGTGTGTGCGCGCGCCTTAGTATGGTTGGGGGGGGTGTATGTTTTTGTTTGTGTGTGTGTAGCAGTGTGTTCGGGGATGTTTGTGTGCTAAGGCAATGATTTAGATGGCTGCTCAGTCGGAAGTGCTGTCTTTTGAAATGGATCTGTCCGGGCAGTCTCACACCTGTGTGTGTGTGTGTGTGTGTGTGTGTGTGTGTGTGTGTGTGTGTGT